TAGTTTTTTAATAATATATTTTATTTATCCCAGCATATCCAAAAATAGGATAGTTTTAACACATAAGTGACAGTAAAATTGAGATATGTTTTTCCTTTTATTTATACCATCCTCACAAAAGAGTGTGTATTTTATGCTTCTAGCACATTTCAATTCAGTTACTCAGACACACTAATCACATTTCAAGTGCTTGATAACCACACAAGTCCAGTGACTCCCAGATTGGACGGTGCCATTCTAGGACCTACACTTTGGAAAACATGGAAGTTGCTCTCCCAGAAAGCCCTCCCTGGCTCCCTCCTGCTTGTCCATTTGAAATTTGAAGAATATCTTCAGAAAGCAGATTCGGCATTGGCATAGTTAACATTGCGGACAGAGTCCATTGCTTTTTAAGGCTGATCCCGGTGATTGATAGATGTCAGTTCACAGGGCACCTAGGTTGGTCAGTCGGTGAAGGGTCTGCCTTTGGCTCAGGTCATGATCTCAGGGTCCAGGGATCGAGCTCCACATCAGGCTCCCTGCTCAGTGGGGAGTCTGCTTCTCCCTCTACACCTCCCCCCACTCGTTCTCTCTCTCTCTCTCTAATAAGATCTTAAAGAAACAGATGTCAGTTAAGCTAAACCAGGGTCCACAAAATTGCTGTATTGTTCATTAGGTTGTCTCTGTATCAAGATTTCAGGATCGTGCCATAAAATACTTCGTAGCTATCCCCATTGTGGTGGGCCCAACAGGTTGTAGTTCTACCGAAAATGAAATCTCTGCCAGCTGAGTATCTGTGAAAAGGATCTGAGCAGATTTAGCAAAATCTTTTAAAGAAACATGTTGGACCCACTTGCCTCTAGTGCGAAGTGAGTTACTTTGTGAGGGATGATAGAAGCCAGTCTTCTAAATCTTCTCAATAACACACCTGCAGAAGGTTTGCATTCCAACTCAAGTGAGTGGATCCCCAGAGGCAGCCTAATCCTGAGGGAGTATTTATTCATTCACTGTTTGTGTCACACTGGCCCTGGCTGGCTGGGGATACAGAAGAGCGCGACAGATCTGGTCCCCGCCTTCATGGAGCTTGCATTCTAAGGGAAGAGATGACCATAAACAAGTGGGTAAAAATATAAAGCAATAACAAGTTTTGGTAGGTGTTGTGGAGGTAGTAATTGGGGAGGGTCACTTTATTGTGGAACATTTCAAACAAACGGAAGTAGAGAGAATAGTATAATGGTCTCCCCCAGTGTACCCATCACCCACCCAGATTAGCAGTTATTAATTATTGGCTTAATCTTGTTTCATCTGTCAATTCCCCCTTCCACACAACTCCCCACAATTATTTTGAAATAAACCTAGATATTATATCATATCACCCATATGTATTTCAGTAACCATGATACCATTTTCTTGCCTAAATAATTTAACAGCAGTCTCAATATCAAACCCAGCTAGTGTTCCAAATTTCCCTGTCTCATAAATGGGGGGGGGGGGGGTTTGCCTGAATCGGTATGCAAATGAAGCCCATATGGTGCAATTGATTGATTTTTTTTTAAGATTTTTTATTTATTCATTTGAGAGCAAGCAAGAGCACGAGCAGTGAGCAGCGGGGAGGAGGGAGAGGGAGAAGCAGATTCCCCACTGAGCAGGGAGCTAGTCGACGGTTGACACAGGGCTCGATCCCAGGACCCCTGAATCATGACCTGAGCCGAAGGCAGATGCTTAACCAACTGAGCCACCCAGGCGCCCAGGTTGATTTTTTTTAAGTCAATTTAATCTTTTGGTTCTCAGGGAAGTCACTTTTTTAAATTAAGATAATCAAAGGAGATATTTTGATTGAAGACCTGAGAAATAAATGAGCTAGTCACAGAAGGAACATTCCAGGTAGTGGGACCAAGTGCAGGGCAATGACATGATGAAGGACAGATTCAGGGAACGTAGAGGAAGACAGACCGGGTGACTGATGCATAGTAACCTAGGGAGAAAATACTTGGAGATGAGCTATTTCTCAAATCAAAAAAGTCAGAGTTTTCCAGATTCCCTCACCATATTACATAGTTTCTCCGAATGTAATCCAACTGGATGACGCTCTTTGACTTCATACAGAAATGCCTTTGTTTCTAGTTACACTTTTATTTTTTGTTGTTGTTTTTTTTTTTTAAAGATTTTATTTATTTATTTGAGAGAGAGAATGAGAGAGAGCACATGAGAGGGGGGAGGGTCAGAGGGAGAAGCAGACTCCCTGCCGAGCAGGGAGCCCGGGTGCGGGACTCGATCCAGGGACTCCAGGATCATGACCTGAGCCGAAGGCAGTCGCTTAACCAACTGAGCCACCCAGGCGCCCTCTAGTTACACTTTTATGACCTCCGCTTTCATGGAGGGCTGCAGTAATGGTTTACCCAGGTCCACACAAAGTATAATAATGCCCTCTGTCATTAAAACCAAATTTCGAGGGTGTTGTAGATTCACATGTAATTGTAGGAAATGATACTGAGAAATCCTGTGTACCCATTTCCCAGTTTTCCCAATGCTCCCAACCAGAGTTCTCCCAAACTATAGTTTTCTTGCAAAACTAGGGTAATGCAAGAGGCACGATATGGCCCTTCATGCAGTCAAGATACTAAACCATCCTGTCACCACAAGGCTCCTTCCTGTTGTAACCACACCCACACTTCTCGCTCTGTGTAGTTTCCTTAGCTTGCCTTTGTCTGGTTTGGGTGTCTCGCTGATACTGGCCTTGTAAAAATGTAAAATGCATTGGAACATATCCCCGCCTCGTCTCTGTTCTGGAAAAGATGGTGCACAATTGGTGTTCATTCCTCAAGTGTTTGGTAGAGCTCTCCAGTGAAGCTGTTTTCGGGTCAGTCTTCCTAGAGGCTTATCAGTTTTTTTCAAAATTTTTTCCAGTTTATTTACTTAAGTAATTTCTACACCCAACATGGGGCTCAAACCCACGATGCCACGATCAAGAGCCGCTGAGCCAGCCAGGTGCCCCAAGGCTTACCAGTTTTTTCATTCCCCTCACCCCAAGAGCCAGCTTTGTGTTTCATTGGTTTATCGCTATTGTTTTCCTGTTTTCGGTTTCACTGACTTCTGCTCTTACGGTTATTTTCTTCTGCTTACTTTGGGTTTATTTTGCCCATTTTCTACTTTATCAGTGTAGGAACTGAGATTATTGATACTGATTTTTTTTTGCCTTTTTTTAAGGTTATTTATTTATTTATTTATTTGAGATAGCGAGAGCATGAGCAGGAGGGAGGGGCAGAGGGAGAAGGAGACCAGACTCCCCGCTGAGCAGAGAGCCCCCCGGGATCCAGGATCCCCGGGATCATGACCTGAGCCAAAGGCAGACACTTAACCAATAAGGCATCCCTTATTGATATTGATTATTGAGAAAACAATGCACTTTTTTTTTGAAAACAATGCACTTTTTTTTTTTAAAGATTTTATTTATTTATTTGAGAGAGAGAATGAGAGAGAGAACATGAGAGGGGGGAGGGTCAGAGGGAGAAGCAGGCTCCCTGCTGAGCAGGCAGCCCGATGCGGGACTCGATCCTGGGACTCCAGGATCATGACCTGAGCCGAAGGCAGTCGCTTAACCAACTGAGCCACCCAGGCGCCCCAACAATGCACTTTTAATGTAAGGATCCCTAGTATAAAATACTTCTTGAATTCGGTGCCTGAAGGCTTATCTCCAGATATCCCTAACTAATGTGTTTTCCTTGTCGTTCTGGCTACCAGGAATCTCAGCCTCCCTGTTCTCGTTGGTTTCTGGCTTGATTTTTACCGTTTGCTCTTATTTTTCTTGCTTTACAATATAAACTAACCCCATTCTTTTTAAAATTAACTGTTACTTGGATTGGAAAGGGATAAATATTAAATGATTCTCTCCTATATCAGCTGCTTCTGGCAATGGAATTACCTCCTGTTGCAGTTTTCCTTTTGATCAGTAGGAGTTATCAACTATTCTGACCTACTCCGGATCGATACACACTACATACTGTACACTCACATCCACAGATAACCCCCGCCTCCCCCGCAGGATTCATTCGGGAAGTGGTGTTGCTTTGAGGTGTCATGGAGGTTATGATTTTTTTAATCCTAAGTTATTCTTGGTAAGGATCCAGGCGTGGATACTAAAACTTTCATTTTATGGTAAAGTATAGCCCTACTCCATAATTAATTTCCTGTGGAATATTTTTTAAACAAGACTTACTAATTGGACAGAATACAGTTAGCATAAAAGGGAGGCAAGGACCACATCTGTTTTATCCTCCATGCGTCTCTGACACTTAGCACAGTGACTGGCATATGAACATGGACTGTTTGTTGAGTGAAGTGCCAATATGGTAGATGTGCTGGCTTCCGTAGAAGCCTTCACTATAGAACAGTAGTGATTCATTCCGTACGTGATCCTTCTGCTTTTGTTCTATGTGAATTGTGACAGTCACAGATTTTGTATCAAATTTGCATTCACATGTCCTATTCCTATATCTAATGAGATACAGGCAGCTCGCTGAAATTATGTTCCAGTTACTTGTAAGTGTTTTAGCCAATCTTCATGCCAGGTCACTTGTAAAAGTAGCTAATATTTCTATGGCACACTGGAGTAAACTGAGGCAGTAAACTGCTTCTGGTATAGGGGATCTCCCAAAGGGAGGGGACCAGCGTTCGCATGACCCCCACTAGTCTATAACCCGTGAACATAGGGAAGCTGTACTTTTTAGACCTTACTGTCCGTAGAAATGTAGTGTAGTGCTTTAAATCACTTGTTTTCTTGTGGGGCCTGGGTGGCTCAGTTGGTTAAGTTGTCTGCCTTCACCTCAGGTCATGATCCCAGGGTCTGGAGTCTGGAATGGAGTCCCGGCTTCCCGCTGAGCAGGGAGTCAGCTTCTCCCTCTGCCCCTCCCCCCCCCAGTGCTCTCTCACTCTCAAATAAATAAATAAAATCTTTAAAAAAAAATTTTTTTTAAATAAAATCTCTTGGTTTTTTTTCTGCTTTCCTTCCTTTCTCGTTGTAGTGTGGAGATTGGAGAAAGCGTACGTGGAGAGGATGTCTACATTGTTCAGAGTGGTTGTGGCGAAATCAATGACAATCTAATGGAGCTTTTGATCATGATTAATGCCTGCAAGATTGCCTCAGCCAGCCGGGTTACTGCAGTCATCCCATGCTTCCCTTATGCCCGACAGGATAAGAAGGATAAGGTGGGAGCAGAAATCTCCTTTAAAAAAAAAAAAACAAAAAAAAACAAAAAAAAACTTTTTTTTTTTTAATCAGAAGTAGCACTTGCCCAGAGTCACAAAAATTTCTTAATCCTCAGACCAATATTTAGAGGGTATATTACTTTTTTTTTTATCACATTCTCGTAGGTATCAGTCAGTGTTCAAAAACAATTGACACGGGGTTGGTTTATATAAATCAACTCTTTTGTAGTCTGTATTTGTTCTAGTCATACATATGTGACTTTCAGTTAGCTCACTGCGACTTTTTAATTGTGTCAGTAGGACTAAGCACCAGCTACCGTGGAGTAGAATATTTTTTAAACTCTGGTAGATCCTCTGGGACCCTCTTGGGGTTCCAACTGTGATCTCTTCATAAAACTTGAAGTCGGTTACATGAAGGCTTAGTCTCATTATAAACACACATCTCACCTCATTTATCTGGGATTTTAGAGGCCAAGGTAATATACATAAAACTTTGCAGGACTATTGTAATAATCGGTGCTCAAATTTTGCATACAGTGTCTGGGAGAAGGCCAGATACTTTTATTCTGAGAGTACAGTGCTCCTCCAGAATACAAAGGCCTTTGCTACTTTATAGTGCAGCCAGGTGTATTTGCCTGTTATTTAAAGAGGTTGAAGTTGCCGGAAGGTCGACCTCCAGATGAGTATGTGAGTGGCATAATTTACAAAATAAACTATAATTTCCATTCTGTGATCTTTAAATTTCGACATGTTAGATGTCATACAGGTTTGAGTATGTGTTAAAAGAGATTTTAATAATTTTTGTGAAAAAGATTTTTTTTAAGTCTGCCTAGTTTAAATCACTGAGCATTGCAACACTCAGGCTGAAACTATGTACATTAAGTTAAGAAAACAAAAGGTAGGAAGGTATTTTTCTCTTCTGAAAGCCGTATCCTGATTTGGAAAAGTGATATTCCACTTACTATTCATGCTAGATTGTGATCTACTCACGGAGTCAACGGCCATGGCACTTTCTATGAATTTCCTGGCAGCACGGTGCCTTAAACATAGTAAGTGCACAATAGAGGAATGCTTCTCGAGCAAATGAATTGTTTCTCAAAATGGCATTTTGGTTTTTTTGTTCTTCTTTCCTCCCCCTCTATTTAGAGCCGGGCTCCAATCTCAGCCAAGCTGGTGGCAAATATGCTCTCTGTAGCAGGTGCGGATCATATTATCACCATGGACCTGCATGCTTCTCAGATTCAGGTATCTGGAAGCTAAATATTGGGCATTAGAAAGGGGTGGGAGAGGAGAGAGCTGATAATGCTGGAGACTGGAGAGAAGCAAAAACCTGTGCAAGTACAGCTCAGATAAACTAGACGTTGACAGCACTGTAAGCACCCTCACTTTAAGCATAGTTCCTGATCTGAGTCTTTGGGGTGGTTGGATAAGGGAGGCAGTCTGGAATTCTGAGAAGAGCATGGGCTTTGGGTTCAGACCTAGTCTGAATACTGGCTCTGACGCTCAGCAGCTTTGTAACTTTGGGCAGGTTATTTAACTGCTCTGAACACACACTGCATTGTTGTTGTGAGTGCGAAATTTATGATAGAACGCGTGGCCCAGGACAGGTGCTCCATTAATAGGAACTGTTAGTGTCATCGTTAAGTTGAGAGCCGCAGCTGTCGAAACCTACTTTGTAGCGTAAACCCAGAGAAAGCGGAGCAGAATACTGCCTTATATTCTGTACTATTTAAAGGGGCTTTCACATCCTCGTTGGAGGCTTGTGGCGATCCAGTGAGGTACCTGGGGTAGGTGATTCTACCCATTTTATAGAAGAGGAACAGATCTAATCTATAGCAGCTAGTATTAGAGTTACTCTCTGTGACCATTTATTATAAATACATTCCACTAGGTTTACGTATCAAAGCATGTCTAACTGGTTTAGCAGTTAGCTCTTGCTCCCTAACGAACCAGCCCAACATTTGGTGCCATAAGGCAGTATGACCTCACGGGTCTGCACACTGACTGGGCTGTTCTGGTATCAGCTGAACTTGGCCGTTTTTGCCAAGGGCTCACTCATGTTCCTGTGGTCAGTTGTGGGTTAGCCTTGTGGGTTAGCTGAGGGCAGGCTTTGCCCCTCTCAGCTGGACTCCCTTGTGCCACCCAGGTTTGAGGAAGGAGGAAGCCATTTTTAGTCTGCTCCAGCGGGCATGCCTTCTGATCAGTCAGAATGTTACAGGAAGGTATTCTTCGGGCAAGTTATTAGCCTCTTTGTATTGGTCATTTGTAAATGGAAGTGCAGAAAAACAAAGCAAACGTGACTCAGCTTCTTTCTACAGGGCTTTTTTGATATCCCAGTGGACAATTTGTATGCAGAGCCAGCTGTGCTGAAGTGGATAAGGGAGAACATCTCTGAGTGGAGGAACTGTACGATTGTCTCACCTGATGCTGGTGGAGCGAAGAGGTATGGCCGGAATGCATATTATTCTCAAAGTACTGGGGAAATCTTTCAGACAGCTGTGTCAGAAAGTGATAGTTTTCTTTTTTTTTTTTCCAAGATTTTATTTATTTATTTTAGAGAGAGAGAGAGAGATAGCAAGAGAGAGCACAGGCAGGGGAGAGAGGGAGAAGCAGGCTCCTTGCTGAGCAGAGAGCCCGACCTGGGGCTCGATCCCAGGACCCTGGGATCATGACCTGAGCCGAAGGCAGACGCTTAACTGACTGAGCCCCTCCAGGCGCCCCAGAAAGTGATATTTTTCTAGCAGGTGACAGTTTTTAAGTACGGCTGACCCTTGAACAACATGGGGGTTTGGGGCATCGGCCCCCCCCCATGCAGTCAAAAATCCACATAGAACTTTTGACCACACCAAAACTTAACTATTGGTAGCCAAATGTTAACTGGAAGCATTCCCAATAACATAAACAGCCGATTAACCATGTTGTATTTTATGTGTATTAAATACTATATTACAAGAAAGCAAGCTAGAGAAAAAATGTTGCTGAGAAAATACATTCACAGTACTATACTGCATCAGGAAAAAATCGGCTCATAAGTGGACCTGCACGGTTCACACCCGTGTCTTCCAAGGGTCAGCTCTACTTCAGAATGGGTGGAACCGGGACACGGGCTGGACATAGTTTTACTAACCCTCTTTTACTGGCCTGAGTCACTGTCTGAAAGGCAGGACAGCACAGAGGGGGCCCTTAAGTAGCTACCGTGTTGTAGGCTTGACTGAAACCCGTGAGTCACGGGGCACCGCAGAGCTAGCCACACCGCTGTGAAGTGATCCAGAATGGTGGGAAATTGGGAGTTCTAATGAATGGCACCCGCTTTCGAACTACATGCTATTAGCGGACAAGTAGGCCTTTTCCACACCTCGTGATGCCAGTGGTTAGACCGTCTTCATTCTGGCATTAAGATATTAAGCAGGAAGGAAAATAAAGTGGAGTAACTTTATTTAAAACCAGGACCTTAACACTTTAAACAAACTGATTACCAAGGATTGCCAGTTTCAGTGCTTTACGGCTCACGTGGTGCAGACTAAGAGCTCTTGACTTCCTTAGTGGATCACTCATTAGTAATGCATTCAAAAGGATGACACATGTTCTTCTTGTTGTGGAAATAGAATGAAGAGGCTACAAAACACAGATGATTAGGAAAAGCTAATTCAGATCTTTCTAAAGGCCATTCAAATCTTCAAAGACTGTTTCTCAACAACCTCATTATTTCAGTAACTTCAACAGAACGGCTAAGCTGAGAACTTGGGTTCCGTTATCCAGCCAGATGCATGGCTTTGTGAGTCCCACGTAATCGCTAGTTATCATCTGTAAAAGCAGCCAAGCCTAAAAAGCATCTCCCTAATGGTAGTTGCCAAACTTGTCTTAACTTGTTGGCCAGTGTTTTCCCATCTTGCCATGCGACTTAGAAAATAGTGTTTGAAATAAATAATCAAGCAAGATTTTCTTTCCAAATTTGGGTACAGGAAAACTGCCTTCAGTAGGTGACTTATGGCTTCGTTACTATTTTGTGTGTGTGTTGATAATTTTCTTAACAGCGGTAGAGTATTTTCAGAGTGAGTGGCTGTTATCACTTCTGTCTTGGCAGAGTTTTCGGAGTAAGTGGAGATCCCTGTGTGCTGGTGACTTGCACAGAGTTCTCCCCTCAAAGGTATAGGGAGTGACTTCCCAGCCCTTCTGCTTTGTCGGTCATTGAGTTTGTTGGCCGTCGAGTCTGGACGGTGGGGGACGCTTGAGGTAATTGGATCGTGCGTTTGTCTTGGATTAAGTAAATGTTCCAAGCAGATGGGTTATTCTTGACGTCCTCTGCCCACACCGTAGTCATGGAGAGGAGAGCACAGGGTGTGGTTCATCTAGGTCAGGGTACATAAGCCGTCCAGGTTGTGGTTTGGATCTTCTGTGTTCTCTATGACAGGGTCATACGTTCTCCCCTGTCTGGCACAACCTCCGTCACGTGACCATAGTCACAGCGCAAACCGGGCATAATGCTCTGGTTGGATCAGTGCTGCATTTAAAAAAACAAGACCCAAAGCACAGGCTTCTTCATGCACGGGGAGGACGGCTCAGTGGAGCAGGGGCCTACACATCATTTACACTGAGCAGCACGCTGTCGTTTACGCTGAGTCGATTTCTGGTTGAGTGAGTTATACGGGACTTGGTCATCAGAGATCGGTCTTCCTGTCCCACCTTCTAGTTCAGTTTGTATTACTGTGTAATAGCAAAATGAGACTGACTTTTTGACTTGGAGATACTTCGGGCTGTGTGGCCAGATGTCCAGTTTTCCTGGTTAATTGGTATAACTTTCTTTCTAGCGCTCCTAAAAGGAACTTCCAAGCTTGGTGTCCAGGTACAGTTGACATTGACAGTTGATGGAGCACTGAGGGGAGTGTGGTGAGAGCACAGGCATTCTGACTCTTCTCCCGCCAGGTTCAGGTTCACTTCTCACAACATCCGCATGTCAAATTGGGCCAATCTGTGCACTCGCGGCCTTAGTTAATGACGTCTTCTCTCTCTCCCCCTTCTGCTGCCAATCTCTTAAATGAACGTGCCTTCGCATCCTACTGCTTCCTGGGACTGGTGAGGCATCTGGCTATCCCCCGCTCGCTGTAAACCAGAATTAATTATAATCGAAGTCTGACTAATACGCTCATAAACTGCTCTCAGGATATGGAGGCATTAGTCTGTAAAACCCACTCTGTGCTGTTGGCCTCTGAGATGTCAATCAATGAGAGCTGTTTTCTTCTAGCCCTGGGAACAGTTTGGTTTCAAAGAGTGCTCCCCCCCCCCCCCCACCTCCCTGCCGGAAAGCAAGCCCATGGTTTAGTCCCTGTCTTTCGTCCTTAGGTTTTAACTGCGAACACCCTGTTTTGCAGAGTGACCTCCATTGCGGACCGGTTGAACGTGGACTTCGCTCTGATTCACAAAGAGCGGAAGAAGGCCAACGAAGTAGACCGCATGGTGCTGGTGGGAGACGTGAAGGACCGGGTGGCCATCCTGGTGGACGACATGGCTGACACGTGTGGCACAATCTGCCATGCGGCCGACAAGTGAGTGCGGAGAGGTGGGGCCGGTGGTTAGAAGGGGAACATAGCTAGCTGCTGTCTCAGTGCCTTACGCCTATGGATTCTTTGTGGAAGTAAGTCGAGCGGGCTGGTAACTAGCTTTGGGAGTTTTTATCACCCAAGGCTTTTGAATTGCAGTATGCAAACATTGATGGATATTTTCTTTTTTCCCCCAGATCTCCTGAGTTTTATTATGCTAAACCATATAGAGCATAAAATTTGCCGTTTTGACTAGTAGGTATACGATTCAGTGGCATTAGGTACATTGGCAGTGCCATGTGACGGTCACCACTGTATTTATTTCCAAAATGTTTTGACCACTCTGAATACTCGACTTTTGTTAGTTTTTAAAAACAAATTAAAGTAGAAATGTATGGGCCTGAAAAGACAGGAATTGGTCCTTCACACAGATTTGAATTGTGTGATTCCACTTAAGCATTTTTTTTTTTTTATAAATACAGTGTGGTGTACTATAAGCATATTTTCCTTATGATTTTCTTTTTCTTTTTTTAAGATTTTATTTATTTGAGAGAGAGAGAGAGCACAAGCAGGGGGAACGGCAGGCAGAGGGAGAGGGAGAAGCAGGCTCCCTGCTAAGCAGAGAGCCCATTGCAGGGCTCGATCCCAGGACCCTGGGATCATGACCTGAGCCGAAGGCAGACGCTTCACCGACTGAGCAACCCAGGTGCCCGCTTGGCTGCACTAAATTGTGCCTTCACTCTGTTCGCTCTGCTGCTAGTCACCAGTCTCTTATTACCTCCCCAGTCCATCTCTCTCATTGCCTCCCCACTTGCTAATCTGTCTAAAACTAAGGCTAGAGCCCATCACTCCTCTCCTTGAAAACCTTAAGTGGCTCCTCGTTGCTATAGTCCACACCACTGTGGAGAGCCTTGTTTCTCCTAATTTTTTCTTAACCTCAGGGTGTCTGCCATGCACAGGGCCTGGCATATAGTAGGGGCTAAGAAAGTATTTGTGGGCTGAGCAATTCCTGATTGGGATCCTGGAGTATACACTGATAAAACTCATTTCGTCCTTTATGATTAAGTTAACCCTAACTGCTGTAACAGCTCAGCTCCCCAAAATGTCAGTTCGTTACCATGATAGTTTCTTGTTCCTGGCTTACTCCAGTGCAGGTATCCCTCTTTCAGTTTTGTGGTGCTGCATCTTTAACATACGGCTTCCAAGATTACCTTGGAAGACATTTCCAGTTTGGCCAGCCAGAAAGGGAAAACAAGAGCATAGAGAATCACCCATGGAAGATTCTTCTAAGCCCAGCCAGTGGTATACGTTGCATGTGCCCACATTCTGATGGCTAGAATTCAGTCACATGGCCACTCCTAATTTTGCAAGGGAGGCTGGGAAATGTAGTCCAGCTGTGTGCCCAGGAAAAAAAAAAGACAGTGGATTTTGTTGAGCATAGCAGTCTGTGCCAGTTTTACTACGTTAATCCAAACCTATTCAGGTAAGTTCTTGGTCCAATTATCTCTCTTTGCTGTGAACTGAATCGTGGTCCCCTAAGGTTCATACGTTGGAAGTCCTACCCTTCCAGTGATGATATTTGGAGATGGGGCCTTTGGGGGAAGTACCTAGGTTTAGATGAGGTCGTTGGCGGGGGACCCTCATGATGGGAATAGTGCCCTTGTAAGAAGAGACACCGAGAGCTGGTTCCCCCATGCGTAGGCGCGCGCAGAGGTCACGTGAGCGCACAGGGAGATGGCCAGGAGAAGAGGCCTCAGGGTGACTGCTACCTTGTCACCACCTTGATCTTGGGGGTCCCAGCTTCCAGAACGGAGAGAGCAAGTCTTTAAGGCACCCAGGCTGATGGATACATTCCTCCCCCCCCCAACTCAGGTCCCCTAGTGACAAGTGAGAGTAATCCAGAGCAACTCTGCGTTTTCCTCTAGACTTCTCTCAGCTGGAGCCACCAGAGTTTATGCAATCTTGACTCATGGAATCTTTTCTGGCCCGGCCATTTCCCGCATTAACAACGCATGCTTTGAAGCAGTAGTAGTCACCAATACCATACCTCAGGAGGATAAGATGAAGCATTGCTCCAAAATACAGGTGAGGAGGAGATTCTCGCAAAAGAAGACTCCACGAAGTATTTTCAGGAAGTGGTTGCCTATGGCGAGTTAGGGGTCTGGATTCTGAAGATGTCCTCCTTTGCTCTTAAAGGGCTGAGTCTGTCATCAGGATCTGTGACCCAAAAGTTAAAAAAAAAAAAAATCACATGTAAAAATTCCGATTGCGAGGTGAACCTCTGGAGGACAGAGCATCAGGACTACAGCATTTCAGCAGACGCTCTCAGTGATTGTGATACACACTCACATTTGCAAGTCCATGCTTTACACTTGAGTGTGTGTCACTCTGAACTGTTGGCCCCCAGCAGACACAGTGGGAAACCTTTAAACGGGGGGTACACCCCTCAGAACTTCAGTGTCTCTCAGAGCATGCTCTGGAAACAGCCCAAGTTAGTTACCTAAGGTTCTCGTTAAAATGCAGGTTCCTTTGTTCCACCCGAGACCTACAAAACCAGGAGGTCCTGGGACCCCTCCTTTAATTCCCCCAAGTAATTAGACACCAACATTCAGGGGCTGTTGGCGCTAAAAGAACAAGGCCTTGCCTCATTAAAAATGTGTACAGTAATCCCTTAGCTTTCTGGAATTCATATGGAGAAGTGGAGCACCGATGTCCCTCTTAAGGATTTGGTTTTTCAGCTGAAGCATTCCCTTTTTTTCACTGCTGAGGATCTGTAAGTGTCGGCGCACCACCGTGTTGGTGAGTCTGAGTCAGGGGTGTTCCTCCTTGAGCACTTTGGCCCTTTCCTAAGTGGTTATGTTAAAAAATACTATGCAGAAGGTAGCTGGGGGCGGCTCACGAGGGGACACAGCCTAGTGCAGCAGCCTTAAGGGGAAGGCGCCTCGTCAGGCTGCTCAGCAGGGTTGTCATCTGTCTGTGTGGTACTAACCTGATGCTCCTCTCGGCTCCACTAGGTGATCGACATCTCCATGATCCTGGCAGAAGCCATCAGGAGGACTCACAACGGGGAGTCAGTTTCCTACCTGTTCAGCCACGTCCCTTTATAATAGAGTAACTGCTGAGGCTTTTTACGAAGAAAGTGAACCCCGCCCCCTTGTTTTCCCTTGGTGTTTGATGACAAATTGCGCAGAAGGCCCAGCTTGTCTCTGGCGAAGCTTTCTCCACCCCTCATCGGGTATATTAGCATTTCTCCTAAATGTAGAGAAAGACGGATTGAGATGAACTGCTGAGCTGCGCACAGCAAGAGTTCAGGCTTTGGAGGGTGTTGTGTCGGGGTGTGAATGTGTGGGGGGGGGCGGGGGGGGGAAGCGCAGACTACTTTGCATGTGAATACTTCAGGGTTTCCTTGGTTCAGAACTACTGGCCACAAAGCCGCCCCAGTTCCCCCACCCCCACCCCCAACCTGTGACAGGCTCTCAAAAGTCTCTGCGAAATGACAGCAAGAACCCTAGGCCACCCCAGCCCAGCTCGGGCCGCGGAGTCCTGTAAAGCTGCAGCTCTCTGGAGGGGGTGGGGGTACCCGGGATGGGGGCGGGGAGGCAGCACACAGGGCAGTGAATGCTTCTTGGGAGGAAAAAGCCTGATCCTTCACCCCCTGCTTGGGGATTGTGTCACTGGGATTCTCCTTTGTACCCGTTCCTTTCCATTTGGCTTGACCTTCAGCCATCTTGCCCTTCCCCTGGCCAGATGTCCTCTGGGGTGCAAGTGTTCCTCGTACCAGTCTTCTGGAAAGCAAAGTCGCTTCCTGCTACGTCATCTCTTAACACTGACACAGGATTATTTTTGCCGTAGCGTAATCTTCCTTAGCCCGCTACCGCTGTGGTAGTAGGTGTTAGGTGGGGTCGTAGTGCCTTTTGATTAATTTAAATATTTCATCTTCCTTCCATCTCTTTGGCCTCTCCAGTGACCTGCAATTTCTGTTAAAAAGACTGATGTTGCTGTCTCTCATAGAGGAAACTAATAAAGTGTCTGTGTGTGATTCGTTTGTCCGTATCGTGTCTGTACTGATCTTTCTGCTCCAGGGTTGGTCTAGGGGTCTTGCTGCCCAGCGATAGCTCTGAACTTCCGTGTCTCTGGACCGTTAGCTGCGTGGTTAAGCCCAGAGAAGGCCTTGGCCGCAGTTCTGTTCAACGGTAAGACCTGGAGAAGTCTGGGGTTTACCGAGAACCAAATACGGTGAGATTCTGTGCCTTATACCTGAGGGACAGCGCGTGTCGGGCCTGCTGGATCTCCGGTTCTTCTTCCCGGGGCTAGAAAGTCAGTACTTTCTCAATTTTCTAGAATTTACTCATTTGGAACCAGTTTTGCCAAATGCAAACGTTACCTCAATCAGTAGTAGACACACGTGTGGCATTTAATTTCAGGCCTTCTAATTAAAAACTGGGGAAGATGAATGTGTACAATTGAATGAATTATGCATTCCAGAATGCTCAGTGGGTTTTTGTTTTTGTTTTTTTGGTGCCTCATCAAATAAGGGAGTTCTTTTACTTCAGGTGAAGCCACATGCTTCTGGAGCTTTGTGCAGAGCGCCCCTTTATCTTTGAAGCCTGCTTCTGCTTTTGTTTGCCTCAGTTGCGCTTTATGTTGAATACTGGGATATCGACTTTACAGTGAGTCTTTTGGAAAAAAAAAGGGGGGGGTGATTCCAAAGGGACCGAGGTGGGCACTGAAGTATGTGCCTCTGACCTGCTAGCCCTCGTTCACGTCATCGGGCCTTCACTCCGGCAGCCGCTGACACGGAGCCTCAGTGCCCTAACCTGCCGACCATGCAGTTCCCTCAAGTATTGGATCAGTGGCTCGGGGCTTGCTGTGTCCGAACATTTTGACTGTACTGTGGGCCGCCTTGGGTAATCCAGTTCCTAGATAATCCCTCGGTCCCCACCTTTGGCCCCTGTGCCTGGGGGAGGGTCAGTGTTCAGTTTCCCGTGACACCCAGCAAAGCGCCGTAGCATCTCCGAGACCGTTTCTTTTTTGCCTCTAGTGGGAGCGCCCCACATGCCCTGGAAGGCAAGTGATCCTCGACTACGGAACAGCAGCAGGAACAGACGTGGCGGGGTGGGAGGGCAAGGCACCAAAGCCGAATGGGCCTGCGCCTGTAAGGGCCAGATGACTGCGCGGAGCCAAGGCATCCCCGGCTTCTACTCCACACCCCTCACCTTCCACCCTCCGAGCTAGAAGGGAGATTGCTCAGAACAACACTAACCTCACCACACCGAGTTCCCCAAGCTAATGCCTTTATAGAAGAGTCATCTCAAATTGGGGCTGCTGGTCTCCCCGCCAGATTGGGAAGTGAAGCATTTTCTGCTAGAGAGTTTATTTAATTGGACTGTTAATAGCATGTAGCCCTTGACCTGAGGGGTATTAAGCTCATGGAAAAAGCCTGTAGTTAAAAAAAAGAAAAACCTGCCCCTGTTAGCGATCTTGCCTCCTACCATCTCTTACTAGCTCTTGGTTGTGGGGGAGGGTAAGAGGCTTCTGGAAAGGAATCTGGTTATTGGAGGCACCTCCCGCACAAAGAACTCTGGAAGTGAGGATGAAGAAAGAAGGCTCTGCACTGCCGCTGGGCCTCCCAAGCCGACTGAAGACCACTGAGGGAGTAAATGCCCTATTGGTGGAAATAGCCATTACATTTGGTCAGGAGGGGGAGCCAGCTTCCTACCTTTCAGTTTGCACCCCTAGTCTCCCGCCAGATGCGTCCTCTAGGGATGCCAAACCCCCACCCCCCCACCCCTGCCCATCACATGATAACTGAGGTCACCAGAGTCCTCTATACTGCCCTCAATAGCTGCAAATGGGAGGAGGGAGGATTAGAATTAATACAACCACGGGGCAGGAACATACTGGAAGTTAATTCACACCTCATTTTCAGGCCAAGGATTGACCTTGTGCCTGTTAGTCATTTGCTGCCTTTTTGCCAACTGCTGGCTGTCCCGGAAGGCTGTTCTTACAGGCTCAGCCTTTTGCAAACGATTATCCAAAAGAGCACACTGGGGTATCTCCCCCCCGCCCCGTCGCCCACCCCCCAGCTGCTTGGAACAGGTGGCTCCTGTCATGACGTCAGGTCATGGTTTCAAGGCAAGAATGCTACAGCTCAGGACTCCCCCCCTCCTACTTTATTCCTGCCATGTTTTGAGACCTGTTTTTCTCCTGCAGATCTTTTTTCTACTAGTCTGAGACTCCCTGTTTCAGAGTAAAGGAAATTCTGCCCCGAATCCTGATGGATAAAATTCAGAGATTCCACGGAGTCTCTGATAAAGCATTTCTCCTAAGTCCCCTTCTTCAAAGTCTAGGTACTTGTGGGACAACGGCAGGGGGCTGGGATAGCGGCAGGCATATTCAGACCTGGAAGACCTGTGGTCACGATTATCTAGTTCTGCTCTCCAAGGCCCCAAAGATTGCAAAGGGAAAGGGCTTGTGGCGGCTGGACAGATTGCTACCACCCTACCCTTCCCGAGATCGCTTTGTGTCTCAGCACCAAGGGCTCCATGAAAGAAGACACTTCTTCCTGACCACCATCTTCCATTCCGCCTCACTCTCCTGCCCGCACCCCTGGATGCCCTTAGCCTCTGAGGTGCCCAAGTAGTCTTGCCATGAAGCTTCTTAAGCCCACTTGGCCGTTTTGGGGAATGTTCCCTTCGTGGTTTTTGTTTTTTGTTTGTTTTTGCTTGCAGAGTGACTGGGAAAGAGAGAGAGAGGGCCAGGGTAGCTTTTTCCATCGCAGCCCTTGGTCACCTCACCAGCCACCGCCGCCACACACCCCCCCCCCCCCCGAGACTCAGAAACCTGGCTGGCTCCTTGCTCCAGCTTGAGTCCATGTGAGTGTGATCCTCTGTTGCTGGCCTATTGGATGCCCCTCGGCGACAGGCTACTGTCCCTACCCATGCGCTAAGCCACCAGAGTGAGACCCTTCTCCCGTCTTTCCCTTTCCCTGAGCTCTTTCCCCCAAGGTATTCTTCCAATAGCTCAGCTACCAACTATAAAGTTCCAAATAAGGGGAGGGGAAAGCTCATTTTGCAGCGGGGCAACAGGCCTTCATCCCATTCCCCTCCACCCTGCTTTGTGTTTTCAACTGGCCCCATCCTTAGATTTTCCAAGTCCCCACCACCACACTCAGCGCATCCACTCATGCCGCAGCTGGGTCTTGTCGCTTCATCCATAGTGTTGCCCTGAGCTCACTCATATCTTGTGACTCTGATCCAGGGTTTGAATATAAGGCAAAAGAGGGCAGCCAGGCTTGACCAATACATTTTGCAAGGGCACTACACGGAACAGCGGTTTTCTACCTCTAGCATGGACGTTAGCCTGGAGCCACACTACTCAACCTCAGTCCTCACCCTCAAAGTTCTTGGGGTAGGGCCTCTGGTGACCCCGTGCATGGGGACTCTGTGGCGCAGGAGGGGCTGCAGCCAGGCAGGGGAGGGACGGCTGCCCAGCAAGAGTTGAAGCCTGGCTGAGGACGCTGCCCTCCTCCCGTCCCTTGGCTGCAGTGGCCACCTGGCCCACGGGACCCGTCACTGCTGCCCAGCTGCCACTAGGGGGAGCCAAGCAGAGGACGGCGGTGGGGGGACGGGGCGGGGGACTAGCTCCAGCCTTGAGAGGCGTGAGCAGGAGCCTGAGCACCTGCTGGTCCTCCAGGTCCCCTCTTCCCCTTAATACCCCCAGCAGCCAGGGGCACAACACGGTGCCCGATTCCCATTCATCCGGCAGACAGGAAGGTGCGCAAAGTCTAAGTGCGCAGCTCAATGGCTTTTCACAAACCAAGCGCGGTGCCAGATGCTAGGGACCCAGAAATGAATCTGACAGGGTTCCCCCCACCCAGGCGCTCTGGTCTAGAGAGGAAAACAGGGCATTACAATTACGTGTGATGAGGCCTGTGGTGAGGGAAGAGCAAGATGCGATGGGAGCACAGGAGGGGGGGGGGGGGCGCCTCAGCCAGTGTTGGGAGTCAGGAAGGCATCCTGGAGAAAATTATTTTGACTTTGGAAGCAGTTGATTAGAAATTCGCCAAAGGAGGGATGGGGAGAAGGATCTTTCAGGCAGACAGAAGAGCATGTGCTTACGTGGGCCCCCTAAAGAACGGGGTGTGTGTGTGCGTGTGTGCCTGTGTATGTCTGTGTTTGAGGGTAGGATGGGGAGCTGTGATGAGGGGTGGGGCTGCTGAGACCAGATCCTGAAGGATCTTCGAAGTAGAGTGACCACACACCTGTTGTCCCAGTGTATTTGTTGATGGCACCACCTTTCGCTCTCAAAAGCGCCCTGGTTCAGATAACAATGTAAGCCTGTTATATGGGAACCCTACTCGTGGAAGGCGTACTCTGGTGTTTGAGCTCTATCCTGGGAGCAAAGAGGAGCCACTGAGGGGTTTAAGCAGGGTGCTGACTGGGTCGGAGTCACTCAGTTAAAGTGGCAGTGATGTGAAGAGCGGATTGGGTGGGGGGCGAGAGTGAAAGAGGGAGAGGGGCTGAGGGCAGCCAGGGCAAGAGAAGACCCATTTACAGTAGATCTGGGAGGAAAATGCCACAGAACCTGGTGACGTTTTGACGTTTGACTGAGGGAGAAGGATGCCCGAGTGCCCGGCGGACGCTGGTACCATGGAGTACCGGGGATGAGGCTGAAGTTTGGTTGAGGAACTGCTCAGTCCCAGGTACCCCGCCCGGGGCACCTCGCCAGGAGGGCTCAACGGGCAGCCTTTGCAGCCAGCGGAGAGGAGGCCATCGATACACTTTTGCCCAAATGCCCTCTCCAGATAGTCCTGAAGCCGCAGGGCTGCAAATGAGGCCAGGCTCGAGTATTCTGGGTGTTCGAATCCAAAGGACAAGGAGAAGTTGGGGGAGGTCATGGAACCCCAGGAAAGATGGGCTACACTGGAAAAGGTAAAAAGGGTTTTAAAATGCACAAGATAAAAAGCTGGGTTATAGGTTATCTACAGAAGGAAAATAAATAGAAGCCAACAGAAGGTTCTGACAGAAAGAGATGGGG